GCAGCAAAGTTAAAGCAAATGAGCAAGGAAAATAGTCTGGAAAGGCTGTTCCTTTGTACTTGCATAAAGCAGTTCCTGTTATTTTAGTGACTTGTCTGCCATTCAGCCTCCTAATGTTATATACCAATATCTAGTTATGATGCTTTCCTGCCTGAAATCCTTGGTCTTATTGGGAATGCAGCTTGTGTATGTAAACATTCTAGTCTTGCTCAATTAATTGACCAGATGCTTCTCATTAGAATGACTGGCAGGTACATGATGAGGCTGTGGTAGGAATAGTGGGGACTGGGAAGGCCAGCAAACCAAATGACAGAACAAATGCTCCCATCTTTCCCATTTTCACCTTACCACCCAAGAGGTGCAGTGGGGGTCTACTGACGTGCCTGCCTCCCACTGAGTATGCAGGTGTAGACTATCAGAAATGGTGTAAAATTTGGTTATGTATATAAATGTAATTAAATGGAAGCTTTGTCATTATACTTGCTCTTCTCCCCAAGAGTATTACCCCCATGCTAGGGAAAGCCTGATAAAATTCACCATAGCGTGAAATTGCACTACGTTCTTAATTCTACTAATGTATGTGTTGTCTAGTTTCAATGTCATTTTGCTTTTAATTTCAGTTTCATCTAAATCATAGGTTAAAGAGAATATTCAAAAGCAGTCTTATTATATTTCTAAGTTTCTAACAAGGTTAATGAAGTTCAATGCTTCAGTTGAATCTAAAAATGAAGGAAAAAAGATGATTATTGCAGTTTACATTTTGAAACCACTGCATAGAGCCAGGCAAAATCATTATAATATTGATGTCCTATGAATACACACATGGTAATTATTTGAAATTCCTTCTTTAAAAAAAAAAAATTCAGTATACTTTTATTTAGTACCTGCCATCCAGGGGCAAGGCAGTCTTGAATGTAAAATGCCTTGTACAATAAGATGCATGTTCTCAAAAAATTTATTCAGAAGAGCAAATAATTTTCCTGTGCTACTTTTATTCAAATCAATTTCTAATGGGGTCTCTAAGGATATCTGCTTTTCCTATATCTATGGTAAAAATAAATTTACACTTAACATAACTATGATTTTTAAAAGAATTAGAAAATTCATATACATATAGCTAGTGTTTCACAATATGAGTTGGAAATAAGTAAGAGTGGCTTATACTCAAGCTTCCCCAACTCTTCATGGATAACTTTATAAACAGTAGGATTCAGAAGGGTATTCATTAAAACTATCAATCACATTCAAATTCCTTACGTTGGATTCATATAGTGCAAATCTCTGGAGCAAATAAATTGCAGAGGGGATTAACCATTTTTTATGCTCTAGTTATTACCTGAACGAGGGCCCTAAATATTATGATTTTGTCAGTAAAACACAAGCAGATGCTTTTTTTTTTTCCCATGAGTTCTGTTGTTGCTCATTTAAAGATTACCAGGACACCAGCACTTACGTTATGTGTCCCTGGCAACTGTGAAAAATGAGGCAGAATTTAAAACCACAGTGATAAAGCTTTTTTCACAAGTTCTACCCAAGCTGATGACAAAATGAACACATACCCTATTTTATTCTCACTAGTATGAGATATTAGAATGAGACAGGAATCCAAAAGGCCAACCATATATTGGTTACTTGCTTTTTAGAAACTGTACTTAGTTTTTGAGCAATTTTGAATGCCCTCTAAGTTACCTTAATTAGCTAAAACATTAATGGATCAGTTTTTTTCATATGCTCTGGTAGAAACATTCTTCTTTTTGCTAAAACATATTCCATTTTATTTTCCTAAAAATAGCTCTAATGTATTCTGAAATATTTGTAAATGATATGATGTAATGTTTGGGATTAGCTTCCCAATAATGCACGGTGGGAGAAGTGGACGGTATGTAGATGGTCAGAGCTAGCAATAGAATGATATTTCTTGGGCATGAGGAAGTCCTCTGTACTATTCTCTTCACTTTCATGTATTTAAAATTCTCCTTAGGCCGGGCGCGGTGGCTCACGCCTGTAATCCTAGCACTCTGGGAAGCCGAGACAGGAGGATCGTTTGAGCTCAGGAGTTCGAAACCAGCCTGAGCAAGAGCGAGACCCCGTCTCTACTAAAAAAATAGAAAGAAATTAATCGGACAACTAAAAATATATAGAAAAAATTAGCCGGGCATGGTGGCGCATGCCTATAGTCCCAGCTACTCGGGAGGCTGAGGCAGAAGGATTGCTTGAGCCCAGGAGTCTGAGGTTGCTGTGAGCTAGGCTGACGCCATGGCACTCACTCTAGCCTGGGCAAAAAGAGTGAGACTCTGTCTCAAAAAAAAAAAAAAAAAAAAAAAAAAAAATTCTCCTTAATAAACATTTTTAAGAACAATCTTCTTCCTTAGTGATTGCATACTGGTGGTCTGCATGCTAGGTACAGTCAGCCAACATTAATCCGTATAGTGCTTAAAAACTGTGAAAAGTTCACATGATAATCTGATATTCCAGGTTTTCTTGAAAAATCATAAGATGTGGTGTTATTCAGACAATAAATTCCCTTGTAATAAACACTTGGATAGTGCAGAGTAGCAGCTGCTTCCTATAAGACAGGACATATCTTTGCTGCAGCCCTTATGCACCTTAATGTGTTATATCTTGCTAACTTCACTTATTTGCTTTATTTCCCTGGTTCTTATAACCATTTGAAATGTTTAAGTTACAGAAAGGTTTTCAGTTTCTTATTGAAAGATGCTATTACAAAGAACTATTCAGTTATTTATCACGAAGAGTATGGGTCAATGTTGCCATCTTCTGATTTTTTATGAAAATATGAAAACTCAGATTATATGACATTTCCAAGTTTACAAATACTGTTTGGGTCAAATATCAGTCCCAAAATTGACCAATAAATCAAAACATTTTCTAAAATTCTTATAGGTGTTTCTAAACCAATTTGATTGTCTCATCTCATGAAAGGGCTAAAAAAATACATGCAATAGAGAATATCAAAAAGATATTCTGAAATACAAAAGAGAAATATCTTCTTCCTTACCATCCAAGATTTACATTTATCATATCAGCTTTCATATTAGTTATTTACTCATTCAGGATTTGTGATAATTGAAGTATTTTATTCTTGAGTTCACATGTTAATCTTACTATGGTCCAGTCAAAATCTAATCAGATAGTCTGATTACAGTGATATAATCATATACATAAACACATAACACGTACATACCTTACTGCATATTAAAGTATATTTTCCATTTCAAGAAAATGTAAATCAAGCATATAAAAGTGAAAGGAGGAGAAAGAAATACATCAGTGTTGTAGTGAACAGAAGTAAAAGAAGAGAAATGAGTTATGGATGTCATTATATATCATTCATGTTTAAAAGAACTTTTTGTAACATGAATATTCAATTTACAAAGCCTTGTTATAAATCAGCCATCATCAGTGAGAAATGTATCTTGCATGTGTGCTTTCATAACTCATTGCTTTACAGGGAGAAAAGCATAGTGTAAATTGCTAAATTCACTAAAAATTTATATATTACTGTCTAGGAAAAAATTGATTGAAAACTGATAAACTCTCTAATATTTGATCCTTTCACATAGAAATACTTTAATTAGCCTTTTTGGAATAGATATTCAAATGCAGTTATAGAAGATAAAGTGACATTGTGTCAGGTTAACAAATTGTTGTAGTTCAGAGCAAAAAATGTTTTTTTGCGGGGGGAGAAGGCAGCACAAAAATAATGTTTTCTAAAATTGGAGGTTGAGTTGTTTATCTGATCCAGGCTGAGGGACCTTTATCACTGAGAAGGTATACTATGCAGTGAATTTTAGCGACAACACTGATCGCCATGTATAAGAGTCTCACATTTAGATTGAGTCTAATAACAGCACATATTAAGTCTCCTTTGGCCTTTTGGGTTCAGAGAAAGTGATTAATATTATCTTGATTAGGAGGAGAATGAAAGAACTACAGGGCAGGTTTATTTGTATTCATTTAAAGAAACGAATAAAATATGCCAACTATGAAAACTTCCCCTCCCAGTGTACAAACCAGAAATGGCATTTGTATATGGAGATATGTAACCCTTTTTGAATATCATCTATATCCCCAAACAGATTTTTTAAAAATATCATTCATTTCATCATAGCTAGTCTCCTTTTCTAGACCATTAACAAAAATATTGAAGATGGACTGAGGCTGAAATATAAACAAGTGGCCTTATGTTTACTTCAAATTAGATTGCTAATGTATGTGTGCTAGGACTATCTTTGCCCCTGCTGAAATATAGGAATTGGGAAAAGACAACTAGAAACCTATTTTGCAGGGTTAAATTGATGAAATATGAACTATAGCTTTGTTACATAGCAAAGATTATAAATAGCTCACTTGCTCTTTAGAGTAATAAGGTCTACGTTTCATTAGCAAGAGGTATACAGATCTGTTAGGAACATTTTGTCAGAGCAATTGGTCAGCAATTCAGCTTTCAGTACGTGTGTTTTTTCCCCCTACTTTAGAACAATTAAAACAACGAATGAAATAAAGAATAACTAGGAGCTGAAATTTATAAATTATTTTATTTTTAAGAAATTGTAATTTTAAGACTCAAATGTTTCTTTCTCCTTCACTCAGCAGTGGAAATAAGCAGAGGACAGGGCCATAGAACTTTCTACTCTTTATCAGCTGGGAGAAGTAGACAGCTTGCAGAACCTAAGAAGAGGAGAAAAGATAGCCTGAGGAATGGAGAGGAGGAGAGCATGAAACACATTCTACTGCTAACTTTGATCACAAAGATCAAAGATTGAATGCAAAGAAATGGGTTGGATAAATTAGAGGTTCAAAGCTGGATTTTGTTCCCCAAATTCCTTCTTTCTTCTTAACCCACGCCAACCCTCACGTTTTACAGATAGTGTTTTTATCATTAGAATCATTAATAAGCTGACACTTGAATCTTCTTAACATTCTTTTATGAGTTTTACCAGTAGAGACAGGGGTGTAGTGTTTCCCTGCCTGAACCAATGGCAGGTACCTGAATCATCTTCAGTGTGTGTCAGAAGCATGAGATGTATTCATAGTTGCCAACTTAACTAGAAACACAGCAAGTTCAATTCTACTGACTTCCTCCTCCATCTTCAGAAAACAGCTTCAGACAACTACAGTGGGCCAAAGAGAAGGATATATCACACAGTTTATTGCCCCCATACATTTTTTGTTCATTTTACTTTACAATTTTGCCCAAAATCATGGTTATATAATTGTTGGGCCCCATCTCTCATAGAAGATATTGTTTTGAAAGATGTTGGTTTTCTAGATGCAGGGCTATCATTGAGAATAACTTTGCTGGGCACCCACAAGCACTGGACTTCAGCTGTCACTTGTCTCAGTTAAAATGGACCAGGAAGTTCACTGTATCACTGAGAATCTGTATACAGGGTAGGTTTGGCTGTGGTTATTTGAATCACCTCACATTCCCTGTCCTAAAAATATTTCATCTACTCTTATGGTTCATTAATCAGAGTATCCTTTAATGACCCTTAAAACCTCTTTCTCAAACTTTGGCCCCTAAGCTTCCCACTTTACTGGGAATTAGCTCTTCAAAAGTTTCTAACCCCTGTGCCTGAAAACTCAAAAGATTCATTAAAAAATTCTTCCCTACCTTCACTCTCCATATAATGACATTTCTTTGAATTAATAAATTCCATCAAATATCCCTAACTGCCATATAACCTAATATCCTTAGAATCAGCCCCTTATCCTCCACAGACTTGACAAAACTGAGGGTCCAGAGCAATTTTAAAAATTCTAAAATTTTAAAAATGTCAATTTATTTCTTGGTAGGGGGTGTTGGACCAGATAGTAGGGAAAACGCCGAGAAATACAACTTGTCTACAGATAAGGTACAAAGCAACTTTTCTTTTTATACTTCTTTACTTAACCATTTTTAACCTTGTTTCCATTTCCCACACATTTCTAATTGAATATCTGACTGGGTGAGGTCAGTACTATCAAAACAGAATGACTGTTACTTCATGCTCCCCTGTGAGCTCACTTATGGATTGTAAAGTACTCAAAGACAAGATGAGTGCCTTTGTAACACAATGCTGAGCACATGTCAAGCATTCAGTGTAACTTGACTTGATGGCTTTAGGAATAAATGAGTGAATGAATTGCAAGGAATGAATTGTCTGTTTTTAAGACTAATAACTGAGACTCCAAATGTTGAGATATTTGTCAAAAACATGAATCAACAATGATTGTCCCAATGTTTATATTTCAGTGATTTGCTTTTAATATAAATATAATGTTTTATATCAACGATATCTTATCTTTCTGATAAACTCACTTTTACTCCCATGCACTCTGATACATTCCTGAGAAAAAGGAAGAATGGGAGTTTAAGCTAGTGAAGAATGCCCAGTATGTGGCACATGGTCATCTTCTGTTCTGAGTATCTCACTGCAAACACTGAGGATCTCTGCTAAGGGGAGGAGCTCTTAGAATGAAAGATTCATACACTTCTACATCAAGTGACAGAATAGTGACTCAGAGAGGCAGCTGACAGCAGGAGAAGGGAGGAAAGAAGAGAGAGAAGCAAGTACCTGACTATGATTAATAGAAATATTCCTGAGTCTCACATTTAAATATCGTAAGCTAAAAACCTTGCATTCCATCCTATAATGCTACTCAGCAGTTGGTGATGACATTATAAAGAATATAAAATGCTCCTGAGGATGAGCCACACTTTACTTTCTTATTTTGGGGGTAAATTTCAAGGTAGTAATGATAAATTTAGCTTATTTTACTTTGGAATTCTGTTGATCCTGCTTTACTTTCTTTAGCTTTGTTATCTTTTCCTCTTTGTTATGGGTTGAACTATGTCTCCCCCCACAAATATATACTGAAATCTTACCCTTAGTTCTTCAGAATTTGAAGAATTTGGAAATAGGGCCTTTACAGAAGTAATCAGCTAAATTGAGGCCGTTAGGGTTGGCCCTAATCCAATATAACTAGTGTACTTATAAAAAGATGAAATTTGGACACAGACACAGGCAGGTACACACAGAAGGAAGATGATGTGAAGAGACACAGGGAGAAGAGGGACATGTGGCTGCAATGCTGAATTTACAAGCCAGGAAGTGCCAAAGATTGCTAGCAAACACCAGAAGATAGGAGAGGTAAGGAAGGATTCTCAGAGAGAATTTGGCACTTCCAACATCTTGATTTTGGAATTCTAACTTCCAGGACCATGAGAGAGTAAATTTCTGTTATTTTAACCCATTCGGTTTTTGGTATCTTGTCATGGCAGCCTAGGGAACTAATATACTTTTTCCAGTCTTACCTTAAATGCTGCTTTCTATAGTACATTTTTCCTAACAACATTCCCCTAAATAGTGGGTATATGCTGTTCTCTAGGCAGCAGGAACATAGAAAAGCAATAAAGAGAAGAACTGAAAGAACTGACAGAATACAGAAATAATCTCAAGAAGGTTGGAATTTCTTCAGAAAACAAGAAGGAAGTGGAGAAGAAAGTGGCTGTGAAACCCATAGAAACCAAGAACAAGTTCTCCCAGGCAAAGCTGTTGGCAGGAGCTGTGAAGCATAAGAGCTCAGAGAGTGGCAACAGTGTGAAAGACTGAAACCGGCCCCTGACCCAGATGACAAGAATCAAGAGGCCTCGTCCTGCAAGTCTCTTGGGAACACTTCCCTGAGCGGCCCCTCCATCCACTGCCCCTTGGCCGCAGTCTGCATTGGCATCCTCCCAGGCTTGGGTGCCTACTCTGGGAGCAGCGACTCTGAATCCAGCTCAGACAGTGAAGACACCATCAACGCCACTGGGAAGATCGTCTCCTCCATCTTCCGAACCAACACCTTCCTCGAGGCTCCCTAGCTCCTCTGTCCTCCCCAGAAAGAGCTGCTCCCCAAGGGTAGATCGGACCATTCATTCTGCCTCCAGGCATCGTATCTCTCAAAAAACTCCTTTGCCTGCTTCCTGTGTACTGTGACATTTTTACCCTAATCTAAAAATGTGCCAGAATCTAAAAAAAAAAAAATATATATATATATATATACATATACACATATATATGTGGTGTATGGTAGGTACTCAATTAATATGAATTGATTGAATGATTTAATAATTGAATCAATTATTAAAAAATGAATAATTAGTTAATTCATAAAGAGGCTGGAAATCCTTGTGAAAAATACTTGTGTGTTGGGGCTTATCCCTATCAACCATTTCCATGAAGTTAAGAGCTATATAGTACATGAAACAAAATGTACATTTCTGTTAGATTAAACTATTATCTTAATAGTTACTTCTTATCATCTGTAATTTAACTAAATAGAGAAATAGTTATATTGCTATCACTTAACATTAGGCCTAATATTAGGTAGAGGAATTTTTTTTGGCAGGGAGGGGGAGGCTACAGGTTCACCTCAAAATATTTCAGGGAACTAAACCAGAAAATAGGGCAAAGATGTTGCCTGAAAACAAAAGATGAAGATATGATTGATAGTTTATGATAGTAAAGTATGATAGAAGTGAAATTATGGAAATCTTTGAGTATTCGGACATGAAGAGTCAGATTTCTAAATCACAATTGAATCATTCTATGAATAGTAATATGAAAAAATATGAAATAGTCTCATCCTCTGAAACTATATCAGTACTTGCATTTACTGAAAACTGTATGCATTTTCCTTTGAGGGACTGAGGAACAGAGAGCTTAGAAGATTTACTCAGGGGACATTCAATGAAGGTTTCAGAACTGAGACATGAGTGAGTCCTTTGAATCAAAAGCACTTATGTTTTTTATTTCAAGTTATTTCCTCTTCAAGAGTACAACATCCTATATACACACTATTAATATGCAAAAATCTTGTATCTCAACCCTCTACTATGTGAAGCAAACCAGTTATCTCATTTAGAAGAAACTGGAAACCAAGTTTATTTTTGAGGGACTCAAAAGCAACCATTAAATTCCCAAAATGTCTTGACTATGTCTATTTCTCTTCATCTCTGACTGCCACGATAGTCTAACATATCATTATTTCTCTTTTGATTTCCTGTAGTAAACTTGTACCTGATCTCTCTGCTCCACTTTTGTCCCAGCACATATACCTCCCACCTCAGTCCCATTGAGTTTTCACGTAGCAGCTAGTGTTCTTTGTGAAATCCAAATATGGTCATATGAATGTCTTGTTTAAACCTCCCATTATTTTGGAATAATGATTAAAATCCTTAATCTGATTTTCAAAGCCTGAGTGAATTCCACTTCTTCCCTAATACACACTCTAAACTTACCTTGTACAAGTCTCTTATTGACCCAGCCACAGGGGTTTCTCGACTTTTCAAAGTGGTATGCTCAGTCTTGCTGCCTCAGAGTCTAGATGAATTCCTTCTACCTGAAATGCTTTTGTCACCCATCCTGTGCCTTCTTAGTTAGCTTCCATTTATTTTTGTCTGGTCCCATCTTAAATGTCATCTCTCAGAAAAGCTTTTCTTGCCCCTTGAAAACTTAAGTCAGTCCTCTTATATTTTCTTTCATAGCACTTATCACTCCCTATTATAATTATGTGTTTATTAATGTGATCATTTCTTAATCTGTCACCACCATGAGACAGTCATCTTCCCAGGATAAGCCTTAAGGCTGACTTTACTCACTGATTCTTCACTAGTACCTTGCAAGTGGATAAGTATATATTGAATCAACAAATAAAAGGAAGACTACATGAATTTATTGGTGGCTTTTGTATTAGCATTATTCCAAGCCATTGTTTCTGAAGGCCTAACAATGTTAGGACTATTGCATTAGTATTACCAGATATCTGTGTTACAATATAGGTTACCAGTCTTGGCCCATGGTTAACCTACTGAGTCAGACTCTCTGGGCATAGGGCCCTACATCAAATTGGTAATTCTGATGTGTTGCTTAGTGTGTGAAATCATTCAGCTAAGCAATATTTCCAGTGGTCACAACATGTATAACTATAGAAACTCCAAATTCAATCTCTTTGAAGAAGAGTAATTAAGTATAAAATTATTCAATTGTCCTCTGTGAATGTATATGATTGATTAAAAAGCCAAGTTTACATATTAACAACATTAAATTAATAAGATTTTACTGCTATCCTTGGAAGAGATAACAAACCAGTAAATTAAATAGATTTATAGTCAGATAAATTATGATACATGGAAATACACTTTTCTGCCCAGAGATAGGACCTTTAGATCTGATTAGAAAGGATAAAGTAAAATCTTTGAGGTATTAGGACTTCAACTTGAATTGAAGAGTAAAAGATGAGTAAGGAGCGAGATGGAGATTTCTAGGAAGATAAAGTAGTTCAACATTATAGATTCATGAAAGGGGAAGGCTGTCTCAGGAACTAGAGATAAGAGGTAGTTTGTAAAGGGCATTGTAAACCAAACCAAGGCATTTGGATATTAAAATTTTTACTAATGTAGCAACATTTAAAAAGACAAAGATATTTCCTTTTAGACTTAGTAATGAACAAATAGATCTTAGCTTATTTCAGAAACTTAGTTATTTTTTCTGCCAACTCTGAGACAAGTTACCATCTAATTAAAAAATACATTTGTCAACATGAATATTTTTACTCCTACATATAGGAAACTGAAACCTCAGTCTTCTAAATTCTCTATGTGAAGTGTCATGTTAGAGTTTAAATTAATATTTAAAGACATCTATACAAAAGCATACTGTGTAGTCTTCAAAATTGTAATACTTTATTTTATATGAATTTTTAACTAGCTGTAGAAAATACATATTTGATAATTATTAACCTAGAAATGTATCACAGTTGTTAACTGGAAAAGGTTCTATAGAATAGGTATCCCCTAACTTAATAGTTTTCAACTCTACTTATACTTTAAAAGGCCTAGAGAGCTTTCAAATTAATTGATAGTAGGTATTCAGTATATATTTCTTCTGTTCATTTAGAGTTTTCTTATTAGTTTCAGAGACTAACAACAAACAATAAAATCTGTATTAACTATAATAATCTGCTAACACCAGGAAGAGATAAAGATACTATAAAGGAAATCTATACTAATATTTTCTCAAAACTATGGTTTCTCTACAAACACATTCCTGGTTGTAAATTCTTAGCCTATTTCAGCTGACTAAAGGTCTTAAGACACCTCCATGATAATGTTTGAATTTCCAGGGGTTTTTTTTGGGGGGGAGAAATATTTGTGATTATTTGAAAGATTGTAAAGAAAATTTTATACACCATGTTTTGCAATGCCTCAGCTCTTGCTAAATTATACTAATTGTTGTATTCACTTTTAACAATTTTCTTTTTTTTTGTATTTTTATGCACAAATATCAGCACTTAGTATTACAATGAAAAAATAAAGAGGAGCATTGATTGAATGAATTTATTTCTGTAAGAACCACTGTTGAAAGTCAAGATTGCCACGTTATTATGTTAGTGGTTCTGCCTTGATGTCATATATGAGCTGATTACTATGTGTTGGGTTAATATATACCCCTGAAGAACAGAGTGTAGCAAAGCTTTCCTACTCAACTTACCTGCCTTCTAAAAGTGATATTTAATCCTTTGAGCTCCATCCCCCTCCAAATTTACCAACAGTTTTCCTGTCTCTGACAGAGCTTGGGCATTTTAATTAAGTATTTAAAAACCACAGTCCTAACAGCACACACATATTTTCTGGTGTAGAAAGCATGGAAAGGGTCAGAAAATTTAACTTTTAACTGGTAATAAATAGTTGTATTTTGTTGTACACATTTTGGCTCTTGATTTTCTTTTTCTGCCTAATGGGAATAATTTATGCCCTTATTTAATTCAGAGTTACAGTGAAAATACACGACTCTACACATGTACAATAATATTAAATAATATGGTAACTTCAGCCCCTGTTCACTTGGCATCCACCCAATTAGTAAATATTTTTTGTGGGTACATTGTGGTGATTAAAATCATGCCTTTGAAGTCAAACCTTACTACTTTTTCCTAGTTGTATGACCTTTTGAAATTAATTTTCAAGTTTTCAAATTAATTCCAAGTTTTATCAGAAGTAAAAGCAACTAGTAATATGCACCTTAATAAATCACTTGGAAAATATAATAGGACAATACATGTTAAATGCTTAGCTTGGTATGAAATAGTGGGTGGGAATTCAGTAAAGATAGCCTGTGAGCATGTACAGGAAAGAGTTAGAATAGCAAGCCTGATCTTTAGAAGGGCTGGTCTTTGACTGGCTCCAGGAATTTTGGCTTTGGAATGTTGGGCACACTGATGAGGTTGCTGTACCACCCTGTCTAGACTGTTCGTACAGCCAATGTGATTTATGGTGAACATCTGCTTTCCTTCTGGGAATCTCAAATTTTGATAGCTGTGCTTACATGATCAACTCCCAATAAAACCTTGGATTCTGAGTCTCAATCAGACTTTCCTGTGTAGAAATAGTGTGTGTTTCACTGGTGGAAGAAGGAGAGCATTGTGTGTGGCCCCTTTGAGGAGTGCATAGGAAGCCTGAGATGGGATTTCTCCAGACTTTCTGCCAGCTGTCTTTTTTCCCTTGATTCTGTTGTATATTCTTTCTCTGTACTAATCCACAGCCATGAGCACAACTGCCTCTGAGTCTTCTGAGTTCTTCTAACAAATCACCAAATATGAGAGTGGTCTTGTGACCTGTCCCAACCTAAGTAGTGGGAATGGTGGAATTTGGTAGAACAAACTCCACTCACTGAAACATGACAGGAATGTTCTTTGGGGGAAGAGAAGAGGGATGCTGAAGCCCTGATGCCTGGATATCTATGGAATCACCCATATACGAAATAGCAGCTGGATTGTGATCTGTTTGTTATAAGAGGTAAAAGTTATCAATAAATTTTAAAATGATAAATCTAATCCCAGAAGAGTTGGCTCAATGGATCCCTTGGTTTCTTTTTGCTGAGCTAGCTAAGGCAGATAAAAGTAAAACAAGAAAAAGAAAAGAACAGAAAGGGCTCAGAAATTTCTTAGTTTGTACTCTTGAAGAT